CTCTGCTCATGTGTCCCTCCATCATGTTGACAACATCTGAAACATTGGAACTCATATGTTGGATCATGGTTTCTTGTTTTTCCAATGCCACTAATGCCTCATTTGTTTTGTCTACATTGTTCTGGATTGTTTTTTTTAAGCTCCTCTTGGTTTTTGCTTGCAGTGTCCTGTAATTCTTCAAGTTTGTCTTTAACCCATTGAAAAATATTTAATCATTGTTCTTTTAAATTCTGTGTCAGAAAGTTCCATCAGGCTTTCTGGCTTCAGGAAAGCCATTGATACTGTGTCACCTTTTGGGGGCAACATCTTGCTTTGCTCTTGTGTAGAGTGTGGGATAGCTTTTCTTTCATGACATTATACGTTCTGGATCTGAAAACAGTGCTCTAGCAATTAGTAGGGCAGCCACCCCACTTGTGTTTTTCTCTGAACTTCTTGCTCAAGGGAAAGTACAGTTCAGAGCCAGTGAAAGCAGCCTTCTTTAGCTAAGTCTGATCAAGGTGCTCTGGATTAAAGGCATGTTGACTGATGGACATGTAGGTACAGGTGTGGAGTAGAATGAGGGTATGGGACAACCACAGGGACAGGTAAGTCACTTGCGAGGACCTCAATCAGATTTCATCTGTCCGGTTATGTTCACAAGTAGGGTCCCTACTCAAATTCCAGTTTTCCATCTCCCTCTCAGCTGCTCTCGCTCAGTGGTCCTTGCCCAGTGATCCTCACCCAGGTTCCCTTGGCCAGTGGCACCTGCCCCAGAAGGCCCTGCTTCCAGCGAGGCTTAAGAAAACTCAGTCAAATGCCCACTGACCTGCTTGCTTCTAGATGGTCTGTGCCATCTAAGCAAACACAGTCAAATTCCTACTGGCCTGCTCACTCTTGAGCGTTCTCCTGAGTGGTTGGTGGGGCCCAAGAAAACAGTCAATTCCAGTATGCCCACTTGCTTCTAGTGGGGCTTAAGAAAACTAAGTCAATTTCCTACTAACCTGCTTTGTTTTGGTGAGTAGGTCCCACAGCAGCTCAGTTGGCTACTTCTGCCAGGGCCCACGACTTGCTGCTCATGTAGCTCCCAAAATAATTATTTTAATAAAAGTTCTGACTCAAATTCCTACTGGCTATGCCACGCCACACCATGTGGTCTCTATGCACGGTGTCAATCTCTCTGGTGGCCCGTTTCTATGCAGCTTGCTACTCCTCCAGCTCCTTGCACTGCTTACTCCACCACCACCATCTTGGTGTTGGAACACTTTTTCAACTGTTGGTGGGAGTGTAAAATGGTGCAATCACTCTGGAAGGCAGTATTGTGCTTTCTCAAAAAGTTGCAAATAGAAATACCATTTGACCCAGCAATTCTACTACTGGGAATATAACCTAAAGAAACTGTAACTGCCACCTAAGCAGATATATGCTCACCTATGTTTATTGCTGCTTTGTTCACAATAGCAAAGAATTGGAAACAACCCAAGTGCCCATCAACAAACAAATGGATAGAGAAGCTGTGGTATATTCACACAATGGAATACTAGGCTGTATTGAAAAACAAGGAACTCCTGACCGTGGAGGACATTATACTGAGTGAAATATCTCAGTCACAAAAGGACAGATATTGCATAGTACCACTGATTAAAGCAGGACTGACATCTGGTTTGGGGGAAACTGAGAGGAGATAAATAATGTATACTCTATTGAAACAAATGTGGGAGAGAATTGTTTAGGAGGAATAAATGGTTAGGTATTATTTCATGACAGGTGTGCAGATTGAAAGCTGCATAGTAGAGTGGCCTAGGGGGTTGGGTTGTATAACGATAAAAGATTTTTTTTTAATATTTTTTTTTTACTTTTAAAGAGAAAAGTGAACTGGGAGGAGAGGTGGATATGGAGGACAGTGTGCAACAATAAATGAATGGGATTCCAAAGTCTCTGTAAACTTTCAGTAACATAAAAAAAACTTAAAAAAAATAAATGCTCTGGGATCTATGTTCTTCTCACTCTTTTTTGTTTTTTATTTTATTTTCACATTCTTCACAATTTTGTTGTGTGTGCCATTGAGTTGGAGCTAACCAATAGTGGACTCTTCAGTAGGGTTTTGGAGGCAATAAATTACATGGGAGGAGAGTGTCTATCCTTCTCCCATAGAACAGCTGGTGAATTTGAGCTGCATGCCTCTGAGATTACAGCCAGCAACTTAACAATTAGGCCACCAGAGCTCCATAATTTATTATAATCCATACAATCAAATACCTTTGCATAATCAACAAAATACAAATAGATATTCTAGTATCTCTTCTTTCAGCCAACATCTATTTGTCATCAGCAATAATATCCCTGATGCTGTGGCCTCTTCTAAACCTAGCTTATATACAATGGTTATTGAATCGGCTATGTCTTTCCCCCTAAATTGAAAAAATAATTTTAAAAACAGAGTTGAGGCATTGATCACCAGTTATCGAAGGCCAGAGGGCTTGTGAAATGAAATCAGGATATCATCCATGAAGAGTGCAAAAGGTTATTACAAAGATGGAAGAGAAAGAAAAGCCAAAATGGATATCAGAGGAAACTATGTAAATTGCATTATCACAACAGAAGTCAGATCAAAGGGAATGGATGCTGAAGTAAAAGAACAGAATAGAAGCTTTCAAAGGGAAGCTAGTGAAGGCAAAGCAATGTATTACAATGAAATGTGTAAAAATTTGGAGTCAGAGAATAACAAGGGAACAACTCATTCAGCCTTTCTCAATCTAAAAGAATGGAAAGAAATTCAAGTATCAATTTGCAATACTGAAAGGAGTCATGGGAAAAATCTTGAATGATCCAGGAATTAGGAAGGAGTTCCGGTGACCTAGTGGCAAGAAGTTGCACTGCAATCCTGAAGGTGCATGGTTCAAATCCACCACATGTTCTGCTGGAGAAGGAGGGGCTGTCTTTTCCTGTGCCAGTTGCATCTGAATCGCTGCTACACATAAGGAAAAAAAGTAGATGGGAAGAAAACACAGAGTAAGTGTACCAAAAAGAACTGTTCGACACTGAAAAATTTCAGCAAGCACCATCTGAACAGAGCCAATGGTAACAAAGGAAGAAGATCAAGCTGTGCTGAAGACACTGGTAAAAAATTAAGCCCCAATCTATATTGGATACCAGTTGATATCTTTCAACTGCAGATGTAACCTTGGACCTACTCACTAGTCTATGGAAGGGAATTTGGAGGAGAGCTGACTGGCCAACTGACTGGAAGAGATCCATATTTGTTCCCATTTCCAAGAAAGTTATTCTAAAAGAAGGCCAAGTCATAGAACAAGATCATTAATATTATATGCAAGCAACATAGTGCTGAAGATCATCCAAAAACAGCTGGAACTACATTGACAGGGAACTGCCAGAAGTTCAAGATGGATCTGGAAAAGGGCATGGCACCAGGATTATCATTGCTAATGTCAAATGGATCCTGGTTGAAAGGAGAGAATTGCAGAAGAATGTCTATCTGTGTTTTATTGACTATCTAAAAGCATTTGACTATGTGGATCACAACAAACTATGACTTACATTGAGAATAATGGGAATCCCAGAACATTTAATTGTGCTCATCAGAAACCTCCACCAAGAGGCTGCTCACCAAATGGAATAAGGGAACACTGTATGGTTTAAAATGAGGAAGAGTGTGCATCAGGAGTGTATCCTTTCTCCAGATGTATTCAGTCTGTGTGCTGAGCAAATAATTCATGAAGCTGGACTCTCTGAAGAAGAATGTGGCATCAGGATTGGAGGAAGACTTATCAATAACCTGTGCTATGCAGATGACACAGCCTTGCTTGCTGAAAATGAAGGGAACCTGAAGTGCTTATTGCAAAAAGTCAAAGACATCAGCTTTCAATATTAATTATTGTTGTTGTTGTTGTTATGTGCCGTCGAGTCGTTTGCGACTCATAACGACCCTATGTACAACAGCCCTAAACCGTGCTCTATCCTGTGCCAATCTCATTGCCTCTGACACACCCATCCCAAGTACCCCAGTCACTGAATCAATCCACCTCATAGAGGGTCTTCCTCTCCTGCGCTGTCCCTCTACTCTACCCAGTATGATGTCCCTCTCTAAAGACCTGTCTCTCCTTACAACATGTCCAAAGTATGTCAGACGAAGCCCCAGAATCCTTGCCTCCAAGGAGCAGCCTGGTTTAATCCTCTCTACGATGAATCTGTTTGTTTTCTTGGCAGTCCATGGTACATTCAATACTCTTCTCCAGCACCACAGCTCAAAGGCGTCAATTCTCCTATCCTCCCTAGTCATTGTCCAACTCTCTGATGCATAACAATATTAATTACATCTTTAAAAAAACACACCAACTTTTCCAAACTCTTCTCAATTATGTGTTCTACACTATGAATTTTCTATAATACACATTTTCAGGACTGAGCTAGGGAATCACAAGTCTTTCTAGAATCTTTCTCATGTTGTTTCTTCGTATTTCTTGCTTCCCTCCACCCTCTACCAACTTCACCATCTTACCCTATATTGAATTAGTTATCATTCCTTCTTGCTCCTCCTTTGTATCTCCCATGGTTTTCTATGTATATCTCTATTTTAAAGCTTATGTTGTAATCATTTATTTACCTCTTCAAGGATGTTTTGTTCTTGAAAACAGGTCCTGTACCTGTCTTGTATATAAAGCGAACATTTTGTCTAAATAGAAAGAAAATTCTGATGGGATAGCTGTGATTCTGTACCCCTAGACAGTCAGTTGTAGATTTAGAAATAATGAGTTAAAGATTCTTTGTGTTGGGCATTGTTAAATTGGCTCCAACTCACAGCACCCCTGTGCACAACAGACTGAAGCCTTGACCAATTTAAAGGTAGGCAGAGGAGATCTTCTCTTTCCTTCTTTTATGTAAACTTACAAGGATTTTCTAAATACATAATATACCCCTGTAGAGTGTAAGAAATATAAAATTGGAAGTAATTTCCTCCTAAATAATAAATGGTAACACTAATGTTTTGTTTGTGTTTTTATTAGGTGCTGTGATTGTCTCAACACCCCAGGACATTGCACTTCTGGATGCACACAAAGGTGCTGAGATGTTTCGAAAAGTCCATGTGCCAGTAAGATTTTTATAGCTCACTATTTCAAAAATATAAAACTTTTTTAAATGAATAGGCAAAATGTTGCCAAAAACTCAAGGGTTAATTTTGTTCTGTACATAAAACTGTATGAAAATTTGGTTATTAAAAAATAAAATATGGTTATAATCCAAATTAGTCTTTAAGGTCACTTTAAAACACACATATTTGTGAATACATATTGTTTTTAGGTACCATTGAGTTAATTACAACTCACAGTGACCCTATGTACAGTAGATCAAAACCAAAGAGAGTTGAGTTGCCAACCCAAGGGCAAATGGTTCAAATACACCAGCTGCTTCACTGAAGAAAGGTGGGGAATCATTGATTATATAAAGCCATCCATTTGTTGTGGTGTTTCTATTATCAGCAATAGATGACTAAGACACTGACCTTTGCTTTTATAAAGCTCTCAAAATCCATAAATCTATATTTGTGAAGTAAATTAATAACTATTAATGAGCAAAAGTAAAAATAACTATTAATGTGTTATAGTGGACATAAATGTCTTTGGAACAACATCATCTTTCTATATGGAATTGATGATTACTTTCTCTGATTTTTTTTTTTATTTTCTCATGCCTTTATTATCCTATGTTTTTCCTCTTGGCTCTCTCTTATTTTTAATTGCTTACATACCAATCTTGATCTTAAATTATACAAATTTTAAAATTACATAGAATGTTGTAGTCACATCTTAGCCTACAAAAACAAAGTAAATGTTCAGTTATGTTTAAGAGTATTTGAATGAGAACTTTCCAACGTTAAACTTTATAAGCAGTTGGACAACCATGGTGCAGAAATATTATAAAGAACATCTTTGCTGTGAGTAGAGTATGTAGAACTGTGAGTAGAGTATGTATGACCTCTACTATGCTTCTGGTTCTTAAAAGCCTGGGATTCTAAGTAATAGTAAAGCATTTGAAATTAGAAAGTGTTTTAAAAATGCTAAGGAGAAATGTTATGCTTTATATATACCACTTTATTCCATTTCCTCCCTGGTTTTTAGGCTTGGCTCTTTGCTTTTTCATCTTTTTAAATGCATTAGTTACCATGGAAATAATGATGCCATCAGGATTCATTGGTATGGACAGAGTTTAGTAATGTCTATAGGAACATTTTAAAGTTCATTTAAATGATTTAAGATGAGATATTAAATCCCTGTTCTCTGCCTAGAATAATACTTTGTGAAATTATTGGTTATCTCAGTATGTGCAGAAAGAATAATTTTTTAAATAATAAAATATTTTCTCTTACCTACTTTTAATCATAAGTTGTTTATGTGGTGTGTCTATCTTGTGCATTTTTGTTGCCTTCTTGTACAGGGGAGGTCTAGGCACCTTGATCTGGAGTATTTCTCTTGTCATTTGAATTTTGGAACCATAAGACTTGTCACTATGCAGCCCTTCTTTTTCAGAGACTCATCTTCTCATCTACTGAAAAGTATATTAAAATATATATCCTTTAATATTCATTTTATAATATCATTTGGTTAATTTTAGCCATCTTTTGGTTAAATTTAATAATTTGGTTAATTCATTTTAGTTGATAATTTATTTCACAAACATAGATTTATAGATGTTGAGTGCTTTATATAACCAGAGGGCAGTATTTTAGTCCTCTACAGCTACTATAATAGAAATACCACACATGGATAGTTTAATAAACACAAATTTATTTTCTCTAAATTTAGGGGAGGACATTCTCTGTCAGCTCTAGGATACAGTCTTTGTCTCTTCTGAGCTTCTGCTTCTGGGAAGTATGCATGGTATCTCTCTTTCCCAGCTTGTGTTTAATCTTTTTTATATAAAAAACATTGACTAGAGAGCTCTGGTGGCCTAGTGGCAAGAAGCTGCACTGTAATCTTGAAGGCACGGAGTTCGAATCCACTAATTGCTCCGTGAGAGAAGGATGAACACTCTCTTCCTGTGTGATTAACTGTCTCTGAAACCCTGCTTGAGGGTCTACTATGGGTCATTTCTTACTTAACGTTATACAATAACAAGAACAACAATGTATGTCCTAAACTAATCTTGTAAAATTAACAACAGAGATAGTCTATAATCAAATTAAATTATAACCATAAGATAGAGGTTAGGATTAACATATTTTGAAAGGATACAATTCACTTCATATCATTCTACTCTTTGGCCACCCAAAATTCATCTTCTTCCCTAATGCAAAACCACATTCACCTCATCTTGTCATCCCAAAAGTCTTGAAATCATCTCCAATTCCAAAACCTCATCTTCTGAATCATCTAAATAAAATGTGGCTGGTCCTTTAAGTATATTCTATTCTGGGGAAAAATTCCTTTTCATCTGTGAGTCTACAAAATCTAGATTACAAGTTATTTGTTTCCAAAGTACAATAGTAGAATAAGCACAAGGTAGGAATTCTCATTGGAAATGGGAAGAAATGGAAAGGAAGAAGTGATAATAGACAACAAGAAAATTTAAAACCCAGCAGAACAAACTACATTTTTTTCTCAAGACTTAAATATCCTCTATTCACTGAGACCATATAGGCTGTAGTTCTACCCTCCAGACTATACTTCCAAATTGAAACCATTTGGTTATATTCTTCAGCACTGTCTTCCTGGCTCACTGGGATAGCAACTCTTCTCTCTCAGCTTTGAGTAGGTTGCAAGCCCCATTTCTCTATCCCTTGGTGATGGCATTCCCACTCTTTTGGCTTTAAGTGGTGGCCCCATCCCTATGGAATACCTTAATGGCAGCTCCATACCCTGAAACTGAATTGGCAGAATCCAACACTCTAAAACCTAGGAGGCTGTGGCCTTACCCTTCCTTTTGAGATCTAGTAGACTGTGGCCCCACCCTTTATAATCAAGGCCCTGCTTCCCAAGTTTATTCCAGCAGTTCTTAGGATCAGCAGCCTGCTCGAGGATAGTTTTTTCTTTTCTTGTAGGACAACATTTATAGCTCCTTTGGCTTGTCTCCTGCCTATAGAATTCCAAGAAGGTGACAGCATTCTCTCCTTTTGTTCTTTCTCTGTTTCCTTCTGCCCAATCTTAGATTAAGTAACTAAGTCTATCAGTGAAAAGCTTAAATTCCGTAGCAAAAATTTATATATCTGTGTTTGTGATGAAAATTCAAAGCCATGTGTTATTAGTTTATTAAACAGAATTTTCCCATTCTTCATATTTTCAGTTTGCATAATTTATTTTTAAATTGATCTTTTTCCTCTTACATTTAACTGTAAGCAGCAAGGAGAAACCACGAGGCTTATTTAAGAGCTTATGTAGAAAAAGGCGGGAAGCTTATTTAGAATTCTTATCAGCCAAATATCCATCAGTTGCAAGTTCTACCTTCCACAAAACACTTGAACATAATACAGAAAAATCCTTTACTGATACTTAAAAAGTATTGTCCTACCTCCATTGTTCCTCAGCTGTTCATAGGATTTTCAGAAGCTTGTGAATTAAGAAGTGACTGGCCAATCCTGCTTCCTGATCTATTTTAACTCTACTAAAAACTGTCCATTGTGGCATATGATACACTGCTGGCATAGCTTTCAGCAACACAGCAACCCACAAGTTACCTCAGTAGGGAAAACTGACAGACTAGTGGCTATTCTAATTAGAACAATGAATTCCACCAATACAACAAACTGACAAATTAATGTTGTGCCTCTAATAGAAAATCAGGCATACCAATTTGTTTCCAGATCCAGTTGAAGCTTGCATAGATGTGGCAGCATGTGCTTCTAGGAGTGTATAGAGTATTTTAGCTGAGACTCACACCTGGCACACCTGGTAATGGCTCATTTGTAAATATTAAGGTCATGTGGAAGTCTCTGCTGAATCTTTGACACTGGTGCTTCACACAAGCCCTGAGGGCTCAGAGTACTGTTAATCAAAATAAAAAAGGTCTGACTTTTGGGTCAAAGATGCTTTAAATAAGAGGCGTCAACCACCAAATGGCTGTTAATTTAAAACAACAACAACAAACAAAACACACACACCCCGAAAACCTAATGTATGGATTGCAGCTCATTTCAGTAAGAGGCCCTAGCCAGAAAATGGCTGTTGATAAAAAAAGCCTGACTGGCAAATAAGAAACTGCCAGAAGTTCAAGCTATAATTAGAAAATACCATGGCACCAGGGATATCATTGCTGATGTTAGATGAATCGTGGCTGAAAGTAAAGAATAGCAAAAGAATATCAGTTGTTGTTGTTGTTGTTATGTGCCATCGAGTCACTTGCGACTAGTAGCGACCCTATGTACAACAGCCCTATGTACAACAAGAGGTAACTCATGGTTGCTGTGCTGCTAAATACATGTGTGTTTAACTGTGACATTGATGTTAACTGTGTGTTAACTGTGACACTGATGTGTCAAATATGATAATGTTTACCCATGGTGGACAATGTTTGGTGGAGCGCAGGAGTGGCATCCATTTCCGAAATAGCTTGCTTCTGGACACTCTACAAACTTGGAGAAAGGATGAAAGTTATACAAGTGTTCCGGTCTTTCGTTTATAGGGTCGCTATGAGTCACCAATGACTTGACGGCACTTAACAAGTGTGACAATAACAAAAATACAGGTAAATGACTTTAACAAACAAAAATATATCTTACAGTTAAAGAGAATAAAAATCAAAATTCAGAGTGCTGGCTCAAGAAGAAGGCTTTCTGGCTCTCAAGGGAGGTCCTTAACTCTTCTGAGCTTCTGCTTCTGGCAGAAAGTTCAGAAAACTTCAAAAGTTTGATATCTCTCCTTGCTAGTTTAAGTTTAAACTCTTTTATATCCCAAAAAAGTTTAACCCCCCCCCTCCCAAACATCTTTCACTAATCTTACTTTATTAATATAACAAAGATAACCCATTCCCAGTGGGATTATAACCACAGGCATTGAGGTTAAGAAGTACAACACATTTTTGCCTGAGATATTATTCAAGCTATAATAGTAATAAGCTTCTAGTAGTGATTTAAAATAAAAAGAAAAGAACATTGGAACT